GATTATAAGGAATACCAGTCTTATTAACAATAGAAAAGTCTTGGCAGAATTTTGAAAATCCCGTACTGCTGTAGGCGGGACCATTATCAGTCTTTATGTAGTTTGGCACTCCCATGTAAGCAAAAGCATGAAGACAATGATTCTTAACATCCTTAACCTTTTCCCCTGAATGAACAGAAGCAAAAATTAGAGAAGAGTATGTATCAATAGACACATGGACATATTGTAATTTTCCAAAGGAAGGCACGTGTGTGACGTCCATCTGCCACACATGATTAGGTAAAAGTCCTCGGGGATTGACTCCCAAATGAGGAACAGGTAAAAATTCAGCACAAATAGGACATGATTTAACTATCTGGATGGCTTGTTGCCGGGTTATGCCTGTATGATGACGAAGAGATCCAGCATTAAGATGATAACGTTGATGCAACTGAGTAGCCTTATCAAAGGCAGAACAAACTAATGTGACAGCCATACGAGTAATGGCGTCAGCCCTCTGATTACCTTCACTTAGAGGTCCAGGCAATTGGGTGTGAGCTCTAATATGGCCCACATAAAGGTTATGTGAGCGGGACCATATTAGTCCTTGCACTTGCAATAAATATTCATGAATGGGAGAAATGGACGGTATGTAGGCTGTTGTCTCTAAAGGCATAATGGCATGTGCCACATATTGACTATCAGTATAAATATTTACACTCTCATCAGAAAACTTCTGTAAAGCAAGCAACAGCGCCTGTACCTCTGCCATCTGGGCAGAAGTGCCCTGGACTTTCATTCTCTTTACTATGTTACCAGAAACCACCACAGCAAAACCACATGAAGTGCCATCAGTAAATACTACACAGGCCTGAGGATAAGGAGTGATGGTTTTTGTTGGAGAAGCTGGGGAATGTACCCATAGAATAGGACCTGTTTGCCAAAACATTTTAGAAACAATCCCTGAAGTCAACCACAATTAAATGCCAATGTTTAGGAATTGCCACAGGGGCAGGCAAGCCAGGCTGTGTTGCTCCCATAAGAAGCATGGTTTTATTTACAGCTCTAAGATCCTGTAATAGCCTCCATTTTCCTAACTTCTTTTTAATAACAAATATAGGTGAGTTCCAAGGTGAAGTGGAAGGAATGATATGACCAGCATCTAACTGTTCCTTAACTAATGTATTCACAGCCTCCAATTTTTCTTTAGTAAGGGGCCACTGTTCCACCCATACAGGGTCATCACTTTTCCAAGTGATTTTTATTGGTTGTATAATCAAAGGCTGCTGTGCAGTGACTCCTATGGAAAAGATCCTAATCCTCTTGTATCCCCAGGACCTCTAGTGACACAGCTTTTGTCTGCCACAGGGAGTGGGTCTCCTTGTAACATTTTTCCTAAGCCTCTGCCTGGGCAGTAGCCCTGACTTTTTAGTATCTGTTGTACAGGCTGTGTAGTAAGCACTGCTCCCATGCCGTCTAACACATCTCGTCCCCACAAGTTCACTGGAATGTCAGGTAGCACAAAGGGTTGAAAAGTTCCTGCATGACCTTCCTCATCCTTCCAATTTAAAAGTAGCCTGCTCTGTAATGGCGTCTGAGCTGTGCCGATACCTTGTAGGTTAGAGATGGAATTCTTAAGGGGCCAATTGGGATCTCAGGATTCTTGTGAAATTATAGATATATCCAGCACCAGAATCCAATTATCTTTCAATCTCAATCCCATATAATTTTGTTTTTAATTTTAGGCTGTTTATTATTGATAACTGTTTGTCAATACATCTTTTCTCCTGTACTTTCAAAACCTCCAGTTCTACATGTAGGCGCCATTTTGCCTTTAAAATATGAAAGCAATAATAATTAAGCAATTTTATCACCAGCTTTTGTTTCCATGGTCCTTTTTACATATGTCAATTATAAAAGCATTAAATATAATCTCTATATGATTTGAAAAGGTAACTTTAGGCAATACTCTGGAGTATTTTTATAAAATCTTAAAAAGAGGATTTTTTTTTTAATATAGATTTCAAATAACACATTAGCACAAATAGCCAAATATTAACAATGTGGACCAAACAATTTACCTGTATTTTATTTACTGGAAAAATAATTTTGTAACCTCTTTATCAGTAAGATATTATTATTTATGGGTTTATCTTAGCAACATTATTTAATAAGCTAACAACCCAATCCATTTCAGGTATTATATTTCTATAGAATTAAACCAAGAATTTCTAGAAAGCAACTTAAATTGCAGAACCAAATTTTCAGTAATGATCAACAGACAAGAGCATACCTAACATATAGTTCAAAATTATGAATCTTGTTCCTTTAGTTTATCTACCATGAGAATTAAACATTCATCCAAACATTTATTAAGACAATCAAAAGAACAAAACATCTTTTATTCAAACAGCATTGACTTAGCATTCTATGTCTTGACTGAAACCATTTTTTCGCCAGAAGTTAGGCCCGTTTAAACTTTTAGTGTTAGTCCCTCTCCCGGACTCTACTCGCTTGGTCCGTTCCGTTGGCCTTGCCTTCTACCTGTGTGTACCCGCCTACCCGCTGTTCCGGGCAGCAAGCTTTTGACCACAGCCATGCTGGACATGCGCACCACACACACGCATTCCTGTTTAAACCTTTAGCGCTAGTCCCTTCCCGGGCCTCTGCTCGATTGGAGTGAGCTGAGGCTGCGGCTTAGCTTTGGCTCCGCCCAGTGCTCAGGCTCTAGTGCCCGTGCCTGGGCTCTAGTGCTGGTGCCTGGCCGGGCCACGCTCCATCGCAGCTCCAACTCCCACTGGCGCTATCTCTTGTATGCCTTTGTCCGCCGCTGCCGCCGCTGGGTGGGCACCCCGCACACACAAACTCAAGTTTAAACTTCCTACTCCCATGAAGGGACTACACCCCGCACACACAAACTCACGTTTAAACTTCCTACTCCCATGAAGGGACAACCTAATGAGTTATTCCCACCATAAGGGAAAAACAGAAAAACATTTCCCACGAAGGGATCCTAAATATTGAATTATTCCCACTCCGAGGGAAAAATAAAAAAAAATTTGAACCAAAGTAAGCAAACAGACAGCCAAACTTCTAACCTCTGGGCTCGCTTGCTGTTCAGCCAGCAGCAATGAGGCCTACCTGCCGACTCTTTGTAATTTAGATGCTGTACTGCAGAAAGAGCTCAGAGTTTCAGCTATCCTGAAAATTCTACAATTGGAAAAAGTCTTTTCTTTCTCCATTACCCCTGGGAAGAGGCTTTTCTCTTTCCTTTATCCTTCCTCTACAGGGCCCCAATCTTTAGGCCTAGTTCCAAAAATTTTTCCCCTTTTTACCGGGAAAATCCTTTTTTCTTGATTAAAATTTTTTCTCCCTTTTCTAATGGGTACAGTAGTCCTCAAGCGCAGAATGGATCAGCTAAATACAAGCTGCGTGACTCTGGGCTAAGTCCTCAGAGAGGAAGCGTGCACCTCAGCTATCTGAGTCAGAAAGGCTCTTAGGCCACAAGCACGAAGAAGCCACTGCTTACACTAAGTCACCTACTAAGGCCCTGGTCTTACAATGAGGTGAAATTTAACAATGGTCCTATCAGACCACCACACTATCTAGGGAGCTGTTGGGCTCCAGCAAGCCCTCACAGGTTATCTGTATAATTTAAGAATCATCTACATACCTACTTTGTCAGAATTGAAAACGTAAAACAAATTGGCTGTAACTGAGTGGTCAAAACTGTTCTTACTATAATCCTATAACCACTTTTCTTCTTTGAAATCTGCTGTCTTGTGATACTACATCCCCATTTCTTTCATAAGTAGATAGAGCTTTCACCTAAATATTTTGGTTTCAACACGTGTACATTGGATGTGTACTGTTTTCATTTTTATAATATTTCAGTGACTATTTCATAGGGTAAGCCAAGCAAACTGTAAACCCTGTAATCCCAGTATTCCAGAGGCAGAAGCAGGAAGAGCTCAAGCCCCAGCTCAAGGCCAGCCTGTGCATAGATATGTCTTGGTTAGTGTTCAACAACTTCATCTAGAACCCCCTGGGAAGAGGAATCTCAGTTGAGAAAATGCTTTTATCAGACAGCCTAAGACAAGTCTGTAGGGTGTTCTCTTGATGTGTGGGACCATTGTGGGTAGTGTCACCCCTGAGATGGTGGACTTGGGGTATATATACAACAAACAGGCTGAGCAAGTATTGGGAACAAGCCAGTAAGTAGTGTTCCTCAGGGTCTCTGCCCTAACTTCCCTGATAGAGACAGTCTTTGTCACAGCAGTAAAGAAGCCAGCTAAGGCTCTCAAAAAAAAAAAAAGGGGGTAGAGTAGGATGAACAGGGCTATTTAAGGAAAAACATGAAAGGGGTATCCAGATGGAACTGAAAGTAGGTAGGTAGTAGGATCTTAAGCAATGGGATCAAATTCCTATTTGTCAAGATAGCGTAAAATCCGTGGTTTGAAGATTGGCCAGCATATAGTCAGTCATTTGAAGCTCAATTTTGTGGCCTTATAAATATCCTGGGGGCTGGAGAGATGGCTTACAGGTTAAGAGCACTGACTATTCTTCCAAAGGTCCTGAGTTCAATTCCCAGCAACCACCTGGTGGCTCACAACCATCTATAATGAGATCTGGTGCCCTCTTCTGGTGTAAAGGCATATATGCAGGCAGAACACTGCATACATGATAAAATAAATAAATCTTTAAAAAAGAAAGAAAGAAAGAAAGAAAGAAAGAAAGAAAGAAAGAAAGAAAGAAAGAAAGAAGAATCCTCCTCCTTTAGCCAGGCGGTGGTGGCGAATGCCTTTAATCCCAGCACTTGGGAGGCAGAGGCAGGCAGATCTCTGTAAGTTCGAGGCCAACCTGGGCTACAAATCGAGTTCTAGGAAAGGTGCAAAACTACACAGAGAAACCCTGTCTCGAGAAAAGAAAAAAAAAATCCTGACATTTTATCTGGTAGTAGATCAGACAAGATGTATTCACAAAATAAATACATTAAAAATTAAAATTCAAAAGCAAACATGTTTAACTGCTGAAATAATTATATTGTGGTTTATTTATAAATGAGAGCAAGATAACAATGAGCAGTATTTCAGAAGTTGGAAAAAAGGCAACATTAACAGGGATAAATACATTGGAGCCAGGTGGCAGCGGCACACACATTTAATCCCAACAGTTGGTAGGCAGAGGCAGGCAGATCTCTGAGTTCAAGGCCAGCCTTGTCTATAGATCTAGTTCCAGGATGACTGGCAACACACAAAGAAACGCTGTTTTGAAAAAGCAAAAACCCAAACCAAACAAACAAAAAACCAGAACTAAATACATTTCCTTTATTTCTTCCAGATCAGAGACTTGGGGTTTAATCATATAAAGACAAAGAGTCAAGTTTTACAACCTAGAAATATTTACTTATTAAAACTATATTAATACTTTAGTAAACTATACAAAAAAGATAAGGAGACAAACATGTACATTTATCTAACTGCATGTCAGTCAGGCCAGATCCTACAGAGGGAATTCCCAGCATGACCTCATTTATCTGTGAGGACACAGAGCAGTCCTTGTTTAGACATACACCATCTTGTCCTGCATAAGCCGCTCTTCACCTCTTCTTGATGGTTTCCTTCTACACATGTGCATGTCTAGTCGTCTGCTCCGCAGAGCAGACGTTTACCTAAAAGAGGTTCAAACAATTAGCTCCTGCTTATTAAACTGGAACACACACTCTCTCTCTCATACACGCCAACATGGAGTTCCTGAGGGGTAGGGACAGTGAAGGGGGCTGGCAGCTAGGGAAGTCCAGAGGAAAGGATGGGAGAAAAAGAGGAAAAAAAAAATACAAATCTTTTCTCAACTGATATTTCAACAATAAAGTCAATGAATGTCTAAGAATTAAGATGTATCTTTCTAAATGTATAATACACAACTTCTAGAGAGATGGCTTGGCAGTTAAGAGCACTTGCTGCTCTTCAATGTACAAGAGTTGGATGTTCAGCACCCATCTGGACTCAACTCTTTTCTGATCTCCATGGGCACCCATGCACGTATGTGCATACATACACACATGCAGATACACACACACAAACACCAACTGCAGGGGATCCAGTGCCCTCTTCTGGCCTCCTCTGGTACCATGCACACATTCAGTGCACTTACACATGCAAGCAAAACACTCAAACACAAAATAAAAATAAACGTTAAAAAAACCCTACAACTTCTGTTTTCCTAAACAAAATATTCCTAAGGAGACATTTTCAAATAAAGTCCTGCAAAATAATTTCAGATTTTAAGTTACCTTCCTCATCCGCCAGCCATTGGAGGAGGGCTGGGGCCTTGAAGATGACTGATTCGACCCATTCTTCTTCGTGGAGGGTTTCCTGGTGGCCTAATGAAAGAGAAAGTATCTACTGTTTGGTAAATCCAGCTTTAATTGGTTCTCTCTTTTTAGGGAGCGTCTTGCTATGTAGTCCTGCCTAGCCTGTAATTTGTTATATAGACCAAGCTGGCATTGAACTTGGATTCTGTCTGCCTCTGCCTCCCAAGAGCTGGGATTAAAGGTATGCACCTCCACATCTGGCCAATTGGTTCCTTTTATTAATCACTAAACTACACCCTTTTCAATAAACAGGAAAATGAGCCTGGTAGCATCTGTCATCTCAGCACTTGGGAGGCTGAGGGAGGAAGATTATCAGAGGTTCAAGGCCCGTCTAGGAAATGACCAGGTCAACATCGCTGCAAAGCAAAACCCTATCTCAAAAAACAAAACCAAACAAAGCACACAGCCTTGATAAAAGAGCAACTACCAAGCCGGGCGGTGGTGGCGCACGCCTTTAATCCCAGCACTCGGGAGGCAGAGCCAGGCGGATCTCTGTGAGTTCGAGGCCAGCCTGGTCTCCAAAGCGAGTTCCAGGAAAGGCGCAAAGCTACACAGAGAAACCCTGTCTCGAAAAACCAAAAAAGAAAAAAACAAAACAAAACAAAAAAAAGAGCAACTACCATGTACACTAGTGTGATAGGTAATCTTGGCTGCCAACTTGACACACCTGGGAAGATGGAACCTCAACTGAGGAATTACCTTCATCAGATTGGCCCCCAGGGCATGTTTGTGATGCATTTTGATTGCTAATCGCTAATAGCCCACTGTAGATGGAGCCACTCCTGAACAGGTGGGCCTGGGCTGTATAGTGTAGCTAAGCAAGCTGGATGAAGTAAAAAACCAGCTTTTCTCCATGGTCTCTGCTTCAGTACCTGCTTCTACTTCCCTGGATGACAGACTGTAACTTGAAAGCTGAAATCAACTTTCCTTGCCCAAGTTGCTTGTGGTCAATGCTTTCTCACAGCAACGGAGAAGCAAACTCTAAATCAGGAATCAAAAATCCTTGACTTTTAATTTATAGTAACTTGTTAATTTTGTGAAATGGGGTTTAATCTTTTAATTTCTACAAGCCTATCTAAAATAACAAAATGAGGACACAAAGGTAAACATGTATCAGTAAGAAAGGCTGCACATACCCTCTTCCATCATCATATCTGGAATCAGATGAGCTTCCATAGCCTCTTCTTTTTTTCACATCTTGCTGAAGCAGAGTTTTGAAACTGAAACAAGGGGCAGAAACAACAGAGGTATCACTTTGACACCATCAAATATATTCCCATGGTCTTCATTATCATCTCTGAGAGGTGACTAACCCGACTTAGTAGCTTACGCCTACATTTCATGCTGGACATATCTAGCTGGACAACATCTAGCATAAGTATGTGTCTAAACAGGATGTGCCATGTTCTGTGCCAAAGCCACCTGTCCCCATACTTCTCATCTGCTAGTAACTCCTGCCAACAGCATGAAACCAGAGTCCTCGTCGGTTTCATTCTTCCGGTTAGGTTTCAACATAATCTATTTTTACAGAATCTTACAGTTATCACCCCCCACTAACTTATTCTGTTTTCACAGTATCTTACATTCACCATGCCTGCAGTTCCTCTGCCAACAGCCTACCTGACATCACCTTGGGGAGGGAAGAGATGAGGATATTATAGTCAGAGGCACAAAACTTCTCAGAATAAAAAAAAAAAAAAAAAAAAAAAAGCAATTTTCTTTCTTTCCTTTTTCCCATCTTGTTGTTCTTCTTTTCCCCACTAAAGACAAGGTCTTACTATGTGTATAGTCCTGGCTGGCCTAGAACACTCTATGTAGACCAGGCTGGCCTTGAACACTGCTGTCTCTACCTTCTGAAGGCTGGGATTAAAAGTGTATGCCACCACACCTAGCCCGATTTTCTAATTTCTTAGAAGGAGGTGTTAACTAAGGCAAAACAACAGACAACACAGTTAGGTGACATTTGTAAGTCATTAAACTTTGCACTGGTCAATTTAAGTTAGGGCCTTTTCTTGTCCCTTCTTGGGTAACTTCCTCCATGACACTCACCCCACTATCCCCTGCAATAGAAAAACATTTACTGATATTATGCTTGTCTCAGTTAGGGTTACTCTCGCTGCGCTGAAACATGAGCAAAAGCAAATGGGAAGGAAAGGGTTTATTGAGCGTACACTTCTACATCATAGTCCATCACTGAAGGAAATCAGGACAGGAACTGAAGCAGGGCAGGAACCTGGAGGCAGGAGCTGATGCCCAGGCCACGGAGGGGTGCTGCTTACTGGCTTGTCCAGCCTGCTTTCTTATAGAACCTAAGGGTGTCCCCATCCACAGTGGGCTGGGCCCTCCCATATCATTCACTAATTAAGAAAATGCCCTACAGGTCTGCCTATAGCCTGATCTTATGGAGGCACTTTCTTAATTGATAACTTTCAGAAAACTCTAGCTTGTGTCAAGTTGACATAAAACCAGTCAGTACAGCACCTAAATAAAGGAAGGGACTATTCTCCCACACCTACTCATTACAACTTTCTAATCATGAGATATTCAAACTCAGGACAAGTAAGACTTGTTAGTGACTGATTGGTAATTTGATAAAAACAGCCTGTAAAAGACAAAAGACAAAAAAAGCAAAACAAAACCCACCCTCATTTAATAAAGAACTGCTTGGTATGACTGACAAGTTTAAATTTTTGTCTCTTCTATTATTGACTTCTATTCCTTCATAAAGAGTTCAGACCCAGGAGTGGTGGCACATTCCTATAACTTCAACATTTAGGAGGCCAAGGCAGGAAGACTACAATGAATTCTAGGCCAACTCTGACTCTGTACATAATGCAACACTAATCCAGTTATATAGGGCTATTTAGCAACACTTGGTCTCAAAAGCCAAAACAAAAAGCACAAGAAAAGAAAAGTAATCTGACAGTAGAACGAACAGGTCTGGCTATAAGCTGATATGGCCACCGTAAAGGTTCAGGCAGTCAAGCTCACTAATTCAACATTGTATTTATAATTGTAAGAAGGCTTAATCTTACTCTGGAAAGCTATTTAAATAATTGCAATTAGGTACTTCTTCCTCGTGCAGTGGACTGTGGTTACTACAGAGACTCACAGCTGGTCAAAGTGTAGAGAATAAGGGTCTATGGAATGCTCAGTCATGAGTGAGTATCTACATAACACAATCTCCCCAAAAGCTCAGGGAACAACATGGAAAAGGGGAGAAAAGATTCTAAGAGCCAGAGGTCGGAAGAACTGGGACAAAAGAGCGTCTCCTACACATGATGCACTCACGGATTCTTCGAAGCTGTGGATGCTTACACAGAATCAAGCCAGTCAACAGTGGAGGGGGAACATAAGCCCCTACTCCTAACTGAAGAGCTATCGACAGCTGATGATTGCTAAGGGGGGGCGGTCAGTGTTCTTTAGGGGTGTGGTCCCAGACAATGCTCCCGGGGATGGGCCCACACCCATCTGGCCAGTAGTAAATATACTCAGTGGGTCATAAAAAGAGAAGCAAGGGTAAGAGGTAGGAGGGGGCATGTGGATGGCATGGGTGGGGGGAAGTGGAGAGGAAGAGGGGATGATATGATCAAAATACATTGTATACATGTATGAAATTCTCAAAGATAATCAATCATCATAATATAATGTAATTTGATTAGCTTAAGTATAAATGCAACTAACTAAATGCTTTTATACTTACAAAAAAACCACAAATTCTGCTATTCCCCAGAAGAAATCTGTTATAAAAGACAATCTCCATGGGGACTGATTCCGGCTGTCCAATACTTGTCCTATAGGAGAATAAAATAAATAAATAGAGTGGCACAGTCCACAACTTGGCATTGCATTTAATCAATAAGCTCGGGTTTTAATTTGCCCACTATTTCAAAATAGTCATGAGAGGTCCAGTATGAGTGATGTAAAATTCTGAGATCTAGAGTTCATTCCTTTGGCAATGTGTCTATGGCATAACATTTACCATTTTGAGTGCACAGTTGTACAAGCACATCCACAAACATCACCACTGCCTACCTCCAAAACTACTTTGTTTTCCCCACCTGAATTCGACCCAGTCAACTTTGACTTCCCGTTACTTCTTGTCTGTAACCCTTGGCAACCACCAATCTACTTTTTGCCTCTCTAAATTACTGTAGAGTCTCACACAAAGGGAATTAAGCCACTTCCATGTTTTGTGATTAGCTTGTTTCACTTAGCATAATTTGGGGTTTAGCCACATGACAGCCTATCAAAGTTCCTTTCCTTTAAAAAGAGTGGCCAGTATTCATATATATATATATTATAATATATATAATATATAATACATATATATTATATATATATATATAGTGTCCATTCACCTGTCAAAAGACATTTCAATCTTCTATTATGAATCATGCCACTATGAGCATGAATATACAAACATCTGTTTATTCAAGCATTTTGAAGAAAATCAATGGGTTGGATGAAATGCTTATACTGCTCTATTTCTTCTTTTCTTTTGAGATAGAACCCCACTAGGCAGCCCTGGCTGGCCGTGAACTCAGAGAGGTGCCTGCCTGCCTCCAGAGTGCGGGGATGAAAGGTGTGCACCAACACAAGTGGCAGCATCCGTCTTCTTAAAGGTGTTCAGAGAATTTTCCCCCCACCTGCCAAGTCTCTCACTTGTACAAAAGGTTATTTAAATATACAGATCTTTAGAATCAGTTATTTTGATAAAATTCTTATACAAAGAAGTCTATATGATCCAAGCACTGAAAAGAAGTTAATTTGTTCTTTATTAAAATACCCAGTATTTTCTGTAACGCTGTGCTCTTGAGTCAAATGATAGACTATGCAGTAACACCTGTCCTCTCCATGATCTGCAGGGCTTTGCAGTTTCCCTCCATCCCTCTTTCAGGTTTATCTTTCTTTCTTTAACTAGCTCACTTCTAGTTATTCCCTTGGATTTAATCTCTCACGAAGCAGAGAAGAAAAGAGGCTGACAGTCAATGGGTGAGTGATGAACTCTGCTGCGTTGGCTTCTCAGGAAAATCATCCCAGAGCTACCTAGCATACTGGACTGGGATAAAGGTGTCATCTGGAAGTGAGGACCATCTATGAAGTACTGATAAATTACGGTCCTAAGACGATGGATCCAATTGTAGCCCATCAATTATCCCTTTGTGATTCTAAAGAACTAACTGCACAGCCACCATTCTACATGGCTCTTTGCACTCTCTCTCCTAAATTTTTTTTTTTTTTTGGTTTTTCGAGACAGGGTTTCTCTGTGTAGCTTTGCGCCTTTCCTGGAACTCACTTGGTAGTCCAGGCTGGCCTCGAACTCGCAGAGATCCGCCTGGCTCTGCCTCCCGAGTGCTGGGATTAAAGGCGTGCGCCACCACCGCCCGGCCTCTCTCCTAAATTCTAAAGGCAGAACCTTTACAACTCTGTGTCCCCAGAGGGTAATAATATGCTTGAACAAAGCTGCATCTGTCAAACTACAAAAGTAACAAGTCCTACCATGACACACATTACAACACTCTACATACTCTACAATAATTACACTTTATGTAATTATTTAATACTGCAGGAAGCTAGTAACCTCAACCACAAATAATAAATTAAAATCTGTAAGCACCCAAAACTAAGCTGCAACGTTGATGCTCCCTTTAAACCCCATCACAGCACCTATCCCAAAGCTTTGTCATCTGGAGGTCGGATTCTGAAAAGCCCCAAATTCAAAGTGCTCCCAGCCAAAAGACTTTCCCCGGATACCTTCATCTCTGGAGATACACAGATGAATCAAATACAACCACACCTACTTCCAGGGACGCAAGACGGGCTTCTAGGATTGCACCAAGGATTTTCACCTACGTCACACAGGTTCTGGCACTGATGTGGCTTAGTCATGCAGTACCTCTTCTAAGTTTCATTGTGAATTGTCTTTCTCAGATTTTCTATTTGAGAAGCTTGCTCCCCACGTTCTTTCAAACTGGGGCAAAATCTTGGGCTTGGAACTAGCTACACTCTAGTTCCAAGGGGAGGAAACCTATCAAAACTTTTGTTTTGCCTGGCATGGTAGTACGGTCCTTTAATCCCAGCACTCCGAAGACAGGGAGAGGCAGGAGGATCTCTATGAATTAGCAGCCAGCCTGATGTACACAGTGAGTCCCAGGGCAGACAAAACTACAAAGTGAGACCCTGCTTCAAAAAACTTTCATGTTCGTGCTAGTTTTGCCTTGTTGTTATTTTACACATTATAGAGGCAATATTACCCATTAGGGCGGCCTCCTCCACATCAGCGCCCAGTGGCCAGATGGGCAATAGGTCATACTGGAGCCAGCCTGAGTTTGAATTCGACCGAAGTCATATATACTGCCCTTGTGATCAGGAGCGAGCTATGCAATCTATCTGCGTTTTTTCAGTCTGCATCCGAAAAACACCATCCGAACAGGACAGTTAAAGGATGACGGAGACGGTGGGCAGAGACTGCTGTAACAGCGGCCCAACACAAGAGCGCTCTGCACACACTGTCATCGCCGGGTGAGGCTACCCGCGCCCGAGGAGAACACACTCGCAAATCCCAAGTCGGAAATTGGCTGTAGGAGAGGCCTCCGTTGTGGCCAGCGGGGCTCCGGGGCAGCCGGGGCCCTTCTGGGATGCGCCTCGGGTCCCGCCGCCTTCGCTTCCGACTCCTTCCGGCCTTGGGGAACTGATGTGGGGTGTGGGGGAGGCCGCCCGAAGCTCCGACCCGGCGAGCGAGGACACAAGGAGCCCAGGGCAAAGGCCCTCACTCACCATTCGAGATGTAAACCATCTTCCCTCCGGCCGCCCGCCTCCAAACGACTGGGCGGACCAGCCCCCTGCAGCTTCCGTAGCTCGCCTCCCGCCCCGCCCCGCCCTCTACGTCACAGGCCTCTGCTCGCCGGCCGGAGAGAGGTGGGTAGAGCTCATTGGCTGCTGGGAGACAAGTCCCGCCTCCACGTTCCGCCCCGTCACAGAAGTAACTTCCGCTGGCGTGGAGGCTGGTCCCGGCAGGAGGCCGGATATGACGTTTAGGAGCCTCTTGCTTTGAGCGGCTTTTTTTTTTTTTTTTCCTTTTTCCTCACTGGTTTCCGGTTTGATGGTGGAGTCTTTGATGCCACGGCCCCACCGACCGGAAGTCGCTTTCTGGTTGGTAGCTGAGCACGGGGTTCGGGTGAGCAAGGCTGTCTGTCAGGTGTGAAGTGGCTTGAAAAGAGCCCTGGCGGCAGTGGATCCCTTAGCTTTCCGGATGCGCTTCTGCTTTACGGTGTGCAAGGGACAGGGCCTGAGGTGGTGGCTCAGACACGAAGAGCCTCAGCCTCAGGTTTTGGAGAACTCACTGCTAGGTCCCTTTAAACCAGTATTTCCGCTCTGTGGTCACAAGACTTTTGTGGCTTTTAAAACAAGGGTCTCACAGTGTAGACCAGGCTGGCCCCGAACTCATAAAGATCAGCCTGCTCTCTACCTCTGCCTCCCTAGTGCAGGAATTAAAAAGGCGTGCCCCATCACACCCAGCTTTATTTATTTATTTTTTTAGATTTTTTTTAAATTTTACAATTTATAAAACATCAGCTTCTGCCCTCCCCCTGCTCACCAGCCCCACACGGCCCAGGGTCCCCATACCCTCGGGGGGTCCCTAGAAGGCGGCAATGGCTCGAGTCCATGTGCCGAGGCTGGCGAGGCTTTTTATTTTTATTTTTCTTTTTATTTTTATTTTTTAGATGGGATCTGTGAAGCCCAGGCTGCCCTGGAACTAACTCACTTTGTAGATCAGGCCTTTAATCCCAGTACTCGTGAGACAGAGGCGGGTGGATCTTTGTTAGTTCAAGAAGTGGCATTGCCTTTTTGCTTTTGTTTTTTGTTTGTTTATTTGTTTTTTTTTCCGGGACAAGATTTCTCTGTGTAGCCCTGGCAGCCCTAGAACTTGCTCTGTAGGCCAGACTGGCCTCGAACTCAAAGATCCGTCTGCCTCTGCCTCCTGAGTGCTGGGATTAAAGGCGTGCGCCACCACCGCCCAGCTAAGAAGTAGCGTTTTTTTTTTTAATAGCTCTAGTGAGGCAGCTAGGAAAAAGGGAATCAACTGCAGAGTAACAATTTCCTCTGCTTCTCAGCATTGCAGAAGTGGCATATGCATTAGAAGGCGGGTCTTGGGCATTCAGTAAATCTGAATATCGTTCGTTCAGACTTACTGAATGCCCAAGACCCGCCTTCTAATGCATATGCATAACGATATTCGCTGCTCCAGCTCTTGACTATATTTCCGCTATAAGCATGCCGGTCTTGTTCAGCAGGCCTTTGTACTTGGCTGTTCTTTCTACTGTAGAGAGCTAATGTCCTTTTTTCCCCCTTGCTTTATTTTGTTTTTCTGTTTAGTTCTCAAACTCAATGTCGTTTGTGGAAGAACCCTATCCCCTTCCTTAAAAGGAAAATAAATAAGTTTTGGAACTAATTATGCTTGAACAACATTAGTTAAGAAAGCATTTAAAACTGAGCAGGGTAGCACACGCTTTTAAGGCAGGTCAGTCTCTGTGAGTTGAGCCTGGTCTACATAGTGAGAGCCATCTAAAGCAAAGGTGTGTTAAGTGAGGTGTGGTGGCATATGCCTGTACATGAGTACAGTCTGTGCTCCATAGTGACAGCCTGTCTACACAAACAAACATAGTATATTCTAATAACTAGAACCGACAACGATTTTTAAATACATGTTGTTTTGAGAGGAAGCATCCCCGCCCCTCCCAAACCTTGTATAATAGGACAGGACAATCAATATCCTTCATTTCATTTGAGACTGTTACAACAGTCCAATGATAGGGCATCATTTTTGCTAAAATACTGAAGAGAGGAAGTTATTTTTCCTTCGTGGTGTGTGCGTGAGGGCCGGGGAGGTGTGCTTGTGGAGCCCAGAGGCTGATGGGTGTTTTTCTCAGTTGCTTTTCCACCTTATTTTTTGAGATACTGTCCTCACTGAACATGGAACTGGCCATTGGCTAGAGAGCTCTGGCCACCTGCCTGTCTCATCCTCCAGATCTAGATTACAGATGTGTGCAACCACACCTGGCTTTCATGTGATTGCTGGGGAATCTAAATTCGGGCCTTTGTATCCGTCTCGCAGTCACTTTGCCCCCTGAGCCAGCTACCCAACCTGGTCAGTGATTTTTCTCCAGGGCCTTTCCAGTCCTGAGCTAGATCAGGTCTCTTTTGCTTCCTGTACTCTAATTGCCTTCTGAGTTTTGCCATACTTAAGCAGTTTTCCAAACTGCAACAAGAATGACTTATTTTACAATCATCTTTCTTTAGCTTAAAATTGTAGTGATTTCCTGTTGCTCTTCCAGTCTAGGCCCTTTTCATTATCTACTGTTATACCAGGGTCTGTCCACTTGATGGCCCTCTAGCTTCCTGCTACACATTCCCACCCAAACCACACTCCCCGGGCCATGTTTTTTTTTTTTTTTAAGCTTTGTGAACGCCCCAAGTCTTTTCATTTTCCCGAACTTGCACATACCTTTTCTTCCTGTGACACTTTAACTGATTCCTTGCCCATTCGGTGTCTTTCATTCTTTGGCTGTCAGCTCAAGTGTCAACATTTCAGAATGTCCTTCCTTGACTGTTCATCTCTGGTCATTTATTCATGGTTCTTATCCACAATATGAAATTGTTAACCTGATTATTTAGTTTTGTGGCTTCCCTTATAGAATGTTAAGGGATCGGGAACTCTATCTGCCTTATGCCCTTGAACAAGGTGTGGTGGTGTGCACTTGTAATTTGAGCACGTGGAAGGCTTAGGCAGGGGTGTTGTGAGTTGCAGGCAGCCTGAATTACATTGTAAGTTCCAGGCTAGAAGTTGGCACAGAGTGAGACCTTGTCTCTACAAACAGCACCAGTGGCCACACAAATCGGGAGCAAACACTGGGATCTGACTCCCAGATCCTCCCTCTTCATTCCTCGGTTTAGATTTCATTCCCAAGTCTTAATGCAGCGGTTTGCTGATGAACTATCCCCGAGTCTCCCTTCATTCCCGTTCATGTGACTTCCAGCTGCTGGTTCGATACAGCTTTACAGATTTCCCACTCACTAGCCTTTCTGGCCACCACCTGCCAAATAACCCCTGGTCTGTTGTTGCTTTTCTTGATATAGCTTAGATCTTTTGCCCTGATTTCTAATTCCTCAGCAGACCCTTCATTTTCCCGAATTCCGGCTTATGTGCATGTAGTTTCTCTCGATGAGAACGTTCCCTCCCTGTTAAAAGTTTAATCCAGGGCTGGAGAGATGACTCAGGGTTGAAAGCACTGACTGCTTTCAGATGACCGGGCTCTACTCCCCATAAGTTTTCCCTCAACTTGCAAAGCCTTTCACAGTTTGTTACTTCATTTGGTGGGAATATGTCTGTCTTGCTTTGAAGAACTGATTAAACTTAAAAACTTTTTTTAAAACGTGTATGGGTATTTTGCCTCTATATAAGTCTGTGGATCACTTGCATGCTTGGTGCCCATGGAGGCCAGAAGGGGGTGTCAGATCCCCTGGAACTGGAGTCACAGACGGTTGTAAGCTGCCGTGTGCCTGCTGGGAATCGAACCCTGGTAATCTGAAAGACCAGTGAAACTGCCTCAAAACCAGAAAAATAAATAAAGTATTTTATTAAAACTAATTTTATCTTTTTGCATCTTGATGTGACTACTAGAAAAATGTAAATTACACATGTGGCTTGCATTTACTGTTTGCAGTCAATCCCTGCTATACACGACCGGTCTAATAAAACGGCATCTATGGACTGGCACGGAAAAGGTGAAGTGGAATAAGGTAAAAAGACCAGTTATTAGGCACTGATCTATTTAGTGATTTCCTTAAAGTACTGCTTGTACTGCCTGTTTGCCAGCCGTGACCTCACTTGCTACCTGAGCAGAGTGACCTGGAGAAGTAGCTGGAAGAGTTTGTTGTTTGTCCCTGCCCACCTGCCCACTGCCATGTACATCTCTGTAAAATGGTGCTTGCTTGGTCACTCCCCTTGTGGTTTTAGAGGTTAACACAAGAATGCAAATGACACAGTACGGTGGCCTTGCAGGAACTAGCCTGTGGGCCACTGGTGAAGTCTCTCTTCTACTCTCACTGGTGTCTGAGTGTGTATTCTAGAAAGATTCCCACAACAAAGGCACTCAGAAAATGTTTGTTGAGTGGATGAATGGGGGCATAGTCTGTGCATATTTATTGATTCAATTATCACCTAAACAGTAATGTTTGTGTAACATCCTGTGCCAGACAGTATTCTGAAAGTGTTTTTATGTGTTAATTCATTTAAATCTCAGTGCTAATAAGGGGGCTCTCTTATTCCCATTTTACAGATAAGGAAACCAAGTCATAAGGACCTCATGCAGAGCTTCTTAAGATACAGTCTCTGTGTCCTGTAGTCTAACTCTACATACAAGTGGAGATACTACACTGAGATATAGTCAACCATAGTGCTCGTTATAGAAAGGTAAATCTTTTCTAGAAACTATTTGAATGTATCTCAGGTTTCTCAAAGTTGCAGAACTGCTATCCAGTTTTTCTCTTCTAGACACCCTAGAAAACCCTTCTGAGTGTCTCTTAAGTGGGTTACCGTCTGATCTCTGCAGCAGCCCCTGGCCAGGGAGCCAGGTCCTTCAGAATGGTAGCTAGAGCAGGCAAGTTCACTACCCTGCACCCATGTCAGGTGGCTCCTAGCCACCTATGACGACAGCTCCAAGAGATCTGATGCCCTGTTCTGACCTCTGTGTCACCCCAACACCATGGCATTCACATCAACAAAATAAAAATAACCTTAAATATCTGTTAACTTTTTGGTCCTGTGGCAGTTAATATTGATAGTCAATTTGATGGGATTTGGAACCACCGTGGAAACAAATCTCTGGGCATGCCTGTGAGGGGTTATTAAATTAGGCTGGTTGAGTGGGAAGATTCTCCCTAAATGTGGCAGTACCATTCCGTGGGCAGGAGTCCCAGACTGAAGGAAAGCTGAAAGCAGGCTGAGCATAGGCATTCCTCTGCTTCTTGACTGCAGTTGCAATGAGTACAGATGCAGCTGCCTAAAACTCCTGAAGTTGACTCCCTCACGGGGACAGACTGCCCTGTAATGTGAGTGACAACAGACCCTTCCTTTTGCTTTTGTCACAAACTAGTGCAAGTTTCGTTACTAAAGGAGAAATAATCACTCAAATGGTAATTTGTAACCTTTTACATCCATCTAGTTCTAACTATTCCACTGACTAATGCAGACCGTAATAGTGGTAAATGGAATGTATTGGCCTCAGTTTTCACAGTAAAACCATTAGAGATGTAAGTATTGAATTTATTTTTTTTTTCAAAATTGTGTTCTGTAGTCCACAAATGCTTTCCAAGCCAAGTGCGAAGGCTCAATCAAGCATGTAATCCCAGCTACACTGAATCCTTTTTTCATTTTGTCTGGGAGGTGGAGGCAGAGGAATTGCCATGAATCTCAGGCCAATGTGGAATGCAGTGTAAGACCTTGCTTTTTTTTTTTAACTTTATATTCCTAATTATGAAGTACAAGAAATAAGAGTATATATTTCATTAGCATGTCATAGACTTCAATATATCATCAATCTTTGCCCCGTCCCGCGGGCCAGGTTATTTGATGAGACCCGAGGAGGCACCTCCTGAAAGATCAATGAGGGCGAGAGAGAAAGGAGACCAGGCGCATAAAAGAAGACAAAGTCAGTCTGAGTCACGTCAAGGTCTCGTTTATTGCAAGGGGAATCAGGCTTATATATGCTAGGGGCTAGGAGAAGTAGATAGGGGTATGGAAAGTTACTAGGAGGAAGTTAGGGTAAGGTAGGGTTCAGGAAAAGGTCTCTTTGTTCCAGGGCCTGATCAACGGACCATACAGCAAACCATTATGTTTCAGGGAGTTGATCAAAAGGTACATACTGTGGTTTTGTTGAAAAATGGTTGCTATTGAAACTGTTAACGGAAGGTTAGGTACACAGCTTTTTCCCATGAGAATCAGTTAGGCTACTTGGCTCCTGACAAATCTTTATATTTAATAAATTAGAATACAGATTAAGTGCTGTATGACTTCAAGTACTATAGTTTTTACTGCTTTTATTAACACACTGACTTGGTACAATACATTCTATGGTTCTTGCATCTTGTGTTGTTTTTCTCTAACACCTATAGTAATATTGAAATAAAAAGATGCAGTGCATACACCATGGTGTCCCTGCAACAAGATTCCAAGGTTTGACTCTGTGCCTTAGTGGGGCTGGCATAGCACTGACAGGTAAACTCTAGGATATTCTCTCGGTTCTGATATTCTCTCAGAACTATTATTTATTTTTTATGTTTGTGTGTGTGTGTGTGTGTGTGTGTGTGTGTGTGTGTGTGTGTGTACATGCCACTGCATGCATGTGGAGATAAGAGGACAATTTTTGGGAACTGATTCTTTTCTATCATGTGGATCCAGGGAATCTAACTCAGGAAAAAAAGGCTTGGTGTCAAAACCCCTTGTCCTTGGAGCCATCTTGCTTCTTCATACTTATTTCTCTGTGTTGTTTTGGTGCCTTTCCTGGAACTCGCTTTGTAGACCAGGCTGGCCTCGAACTCACAGAGATCCACCTGCCTCTGCCTCCCGAGTGCTGGGATTAAAGGCATGAGCTACCACTGCCTGGCTTCCTTCATACTTTTTTGAAATAGGGTCCTCCTGTGTAACTTCAGGCTAGCCTCAGACTCACACTCTTCCCACCTCTAACCTCTCAGTGCTGGGAGAACAGGTGTGTGCCACTGCATCCAGATAAACTGAGTCTTTTTTTTGAGATGAGTTCACACCATTTAGGCCAGGCTGGCCCTCCTTCTTCATCCTCCTTGGTGCTACAGTTACGGTTGCCACCAAGCCTGGATTCTCTTGGACATTGGCCAAGCAGTTCCTCATTCAATCATTAGCTCTTTAATTTTTAAAGCCATCTTTCTTGTGTTGTTCAGATCCTTTTAGCTGTCCTCTGAAGGAGAGTTAGTACATATTACTTAATCCTCTTTGACAAAAGTGGAAGATGTTACATGTATTTTCCAAATCAGCATAGTAGATTAGGTCTTAGATCATCAGCCACTGCTTGGGTTCAACCTTTAAAAATGATGTTGTCTGTGTGTAGGCAGAACAACTCCTGTCTTCTTGTGTAGTCTGATGGGTGAATGTCTTTCTGTACACTGTGTATTTGTGTTGCTCTGATAGGTTGATAAATAAAGCTGTTTGGCCAATGGTCAGGCAGAATAGGGTTAGGCAGAACATTCTAGCTAGAGAGGAGGAAGTTGAAAGGCAGAACAGAGTCAGGAGATGCTGCCAGCCGCTGCCGTAAAGTAAGATATAAAGTACCGGTAAGCCACAAGCCACGTGGCAACTTATAGATTAATAAAAATGGGTTCATTTAAGATATAAGAACTAAATAGCAAGAAGCCTGCCACGATCATATAGTTTATAAGTAATATAAGTCTCTGTGTGTTTACTTGGGTCTGAGTGGCTGTGGGCCCAGGTGGGACTGGGGAAAACTCCAGCTACAGTAGTCAGCACACATTATTACTTATGAGCAGAAAAGAGAGTTTGAATAGTGGGTGATTTAAAAACACATTTATGTGGCAGCAAAGGTTCTACTTTAAATCTGTTCATGACTGAACAGATGAATAGGACCGTATTTTCATTGACACTCTGTCCGTTTAATGATAGGGTCAGGGAAAATGAGTTATGCTTTAGTCTCTTAAGGAAAATTTTGTTCTTCTGGCCCATGGATGAGTGTTCTCTGGCTGGTAGCATTGTTTTGGGAGGTTGTGGAACCTTTGGGACATGATGCAGAACTAGCAGATGTAGGCCATTAGCAGAAGGGCCTTTGGGTTACAGCCCAGTCCATTTCTGGTTTGTTCTCTCTTTCTTGATTGACTAAGATGTGAAGAAGTCAGGCTCACATTTCCATCTCATGAGTCAAGTTGCTGCAGCAGCCATGCCTTCCCTGTACCCTCCAAGTCCACATTAACCTCTCATCCCTACAGTTGCCTCTGTCTGGTATGTTGTTACAGCATCAAACATAGTAATTATCACCCAAGTCAGAGATGGGTCTGACCTTGAGAAAACCATTGTCCGAATTTAGGAGTAATTCGTTTCCTTTGCTGTAGAACCCCATCTTGGTTTCAATGGGAAGTCCGAAGCCGAAATTGAAACTGGAATCTGGCAGCTGAAGAAGTGTTGCTTGATAGTCTTTCATTTTCCTTGAATGTATTTAGGTATTCCTTAGTGGCACCCCATCTTTCAAGTTCAGACAGATATTTCACAAGTATGCCGGGGACCATATGTGCTGAGCAGTGGAAAGGCAAGGGGAAATGCTGGTAGTCTCCTTGGGTCCTGACCTGTCTGGTCTCTTTCATCCTCTGCCATGCAGCCCTGGTTTCAGGGGAGAGAGCAAGTGTGTGGCGAGCACAAGAGTCTGGCATGCTAGACAGCTGTGCTCAGAATCCTGTTTGAGGGAGGTGACAGCGTAAACAGTTCACACTGGGATTTGGTAGGCTTAGCAGGAATTAGGAATCCATCTCCGGGGCTGTTCTACATGGGGAAGACACCCAGAATTTGCCTCTTGTCATTCCAGTCAGGTCACTGTTAGAAATACAAGGTTCCAGAGAAATCATGCTGCCTTACATGTTTCACCACAACCTTTGGAAATGTTCATATCTTTAACCCAGTGTTTTCAAGTTTGGGATTTAGTTTAAAGAAACAATGAGGAATATTCAGAGAGATTTGTGTGCAAGGATATTTTTCCTGGTCCTGT